AATACTTTTCCTTCTACTCTCCGTATAGTTTGTCGGCAATGTGTCCTTTAACGTGAGAATTTATTTTTCCTAATTTAACACTAGATTCGTGACAGGTTCGTGATAGATTTGTATTTTGTTTGTATATGCGAAGAAATATTTTAGGTCCAAAATACTGGGTTTTTTCATTTATAATTATGTTAAAATGTACTATTTTCTCACACATCATAATAATAATGGCGCATGTTACATTTCCAGAACAATTCACACAACTCTGTCTTGAATAAGCCAAATGGCACATAAATGAAAGCGCTTGTAACTAAAATAGCCCTTTGTTTTCTTTTAAATACTGAGGAGAATTAACTTAAAGGGGGTTCCTTTCCCATTGTTTATAGTAAACAATGTTTATTTAATAAAACGTAAAGGTTCATTATCGTGTTCACAGGTGTCAGCTACTGAACTCATCTAAGCCTCTCAAGTTCTGTCAACATTCTCTCACTGATCTTCTATAAGATCAAATTAAATATAATAATAGTCACATAATATTAAGTTTAATATCACTGGCCTCCAATGCGATTTTTACAAATGACGCGTAAAATATTGTTTGTAATAAACAAACAGTTACGAACATGGCGAAATAACTTTGCGAGATTCTGACATTATATCCGAAACATTTTACGCACGCGGAATCTACACACAGACAATTCGTTTTACCATAAATACAACATATATTGAAATAAAATTAATAATATGCCTATACAATTAAAAACATTCTGTAAAACATTTATAATTACAAACAATAAAAGTACGTGACCAGAGGGAAATTTCATCGTACGGCCGACCATCTGCTCACAATCCCAGATCGTTAATTAGTGAGCTACATTAAATTTCACTATCAAATTATAAGCGAACATTGGGCCTACATATAAATAACATTAACAAACACAAGATCAGTAAGGGCAGAAAATCCTTACAATATGGTAATGGATTCTAACGAGAACTCCTTATTTTAATATTGATCTTTGCCTAAGAAGGACTTTAAGTTAGAAGACTTGCATTTCTTTAATTTCTTTGTAGAGGTGTATACGAAAAACTATGTACGATGATTAATCTTATAACTGGAGATGCAATAGTAATTATGGGCTACGTCCCTGTGTTCGAGCTTTCTTTCTGACAAGAGTGTTTTGAAATAAAGAGCTTGTTAAAATATAAACCGATATTATTTGGTTTAATATATTTAATGTTCCTGTATTTTCTATATGACATTTTCTCTCTGCACAAAAGCCAAAATCAAACGATTCTCTTTTTTTCCTCTTAGTAAGTACTTAGTTTTGAATGTACATTCTGATTCCCTCTTACATACAAGTACATTGTTTAAAATCTGAAATAATTTCTCAAACTTGTTCAGAAATGTAGGAATTTTGTTCCTTTTTTGCAACCGAATTGGCTTTCAATATACAAATTTATTCACGCATATTTAAAAATATTTATTTATATTCTAATGTAATGGTGAAAAATAATACAATTTCCTCCAACAAAACAATTTTTCTAAAGTATACTTTCAAACATTCTGTGTCTAATGTTGCTAATGGTACAAATTTCTTACTTTCACCGGAAGAACCTGGAAAAAGATTACTATTTTACGCAGCATATTTTTCCTGAAAATTCCTTTGTAACTGCCAAGTCATACGTTCAAACAATTGCTTTGAGATCTAAATCGCTGGCATTTTCCACCCATATAAGCCAATATATCGTTTAAAGTTCTGTGGACAAATTCATGACGTTTTGTGCAGTATGTAATGTTACAAATCTTAAATATCTCTGTAACCATCATAAAACATGACAGTTTGATATGTGACTTCTTGTTTATAAAGAGATTTAGTAAAGTGTACATTGGAAATAAAAAGCAAATTGTCGAGAAGAGTAATTTATCAACGACATTTATCTTACATTTTGCAATAAAGGTTTATTTTCTATCTTGCCTGAAGACAAATATTTTACCAAGTTTTTCCATGCCAATAACGAAAGTATCCCCTAAATTATATGGCGACAGCTTTTTACAGTACATAAAATCTCAATTTATCCGTAAACACAGTAGGTTCCTATTGGTTCTGGAGTTTAACCACCTTTATTTTATTTATGAGGTTCGTGGAGACTATGAATACGAGATGATATGATTTATCATATACGACAATGACCTATTTCGAATCTTTTTATAAGTTGTTTCTACAACTGAGAAAAATTACTAGAAACTTACGTAACATTATGCACTCATTTATAAGAAAGAGTGAAATATGTATTTGTTTTGACCTAACCAATTAGTTCCATGGAGCAGATTTATCACTAAGAAGCTAACAGTAGCTTAGCCAGTCAATTCATCGGTCTTTTATGTAACCCGAATGCTCATTATTGTATTTTTGATAAAAATTATAACGCGAAATTGTAATATTTTCTCCTAAAGACTGAAAAAGACAAAATCTAATCCGTGCATTTATGTAAACTTATCACTTGAAAGCATTCACTCATTCATTTCTTGGTGTTTTAACGACGCTTTATCATCTGCTTTGATAAGGTTACAAATAGTAGAAAAATAGTGCTTGGAATAACAATATCATTATTGTATTAAGTGCAAAACCCCAATTAAAAATAATAACCAGCTACCAATTTTTTAAACAAATATATCGTAAGACTGTTGTGAATGGGCAAATTGGTTCGATTTAAAATTAATCGGTCGTAGCACATTTTAAAATAATATGCCAGAACAGGCCCAATGCCTATAAGAATTTGCATAAACCCCTATTAACGTAATTTTAGATAATCGAAATTAGAGGCAAAAATCGAAGCCAGATCTCACAAAAACTTTAAGTCATTAATAATCACTCGCTACGTTCAGCGGGGCAATAATATAGTAATGACGACATGCATAACTAAATCAGAAATGTAACTACTTTACAACATATCAATGGCTAATTCTATCACAAATCTGAGATAATTTATCCGAACATTTTTCGGGGCATTATATGAATGTCACAAGCAGCCTCATGTTCCCCTGGTCGCCCCTACTTCTTAGCATCACTAGAAGACGGACAGGGGGCGTGTGTGAAGTCTCCACGCATTCGTAACATCGATACTGGATAGATATGGGTATATAGCTTCAAGCTCTGGTATACCTCATATACCCTCTGGATAACAGACTTCATGGTTAAATGCTGCATTGTGGCTTAATAAACAGCCCACTGCTTCTACCAGAAATCAAGCCCCGGACTGTTAACACTCTCTGCATATGCGAGAAACGTAGGGCAGATTTTGTCCGAAATAATAATTCGTGGAACTGTATTAAAACGCGAGTGTTCCATAGGGGTCTAATGAATTAGGAAAGAAAGCCGAAGTTTTCATTCAGTGCCTCCATTCCATCACGCCTGTAATCAAATTTCACGTGGACTGATCTCTTCTGTTGTTAGTTCAATCATTCAGTTAACAAACTGCATCGACCTAAATCGAACCACGCGTAATTATTCCGTATTTCAACGCTTTTCATTATGGCACACGCCGTTCATACTTTCAAATAGACAGATAAGCACACTATTGTTCAGTTAGGAATTAATTTGATTTCAAAACCATGGGTTTCGTAGGTGTTTTATGCAAATAAACGCGTCCCATTAGCACAGTAGCAATTTAAATGGAATACTACAAAATGTTATACAAGCTGTCCGAACTCAAATATCACTAGAATATTCGATACGGTTCAAATTAAAAAAAAACTCTTAAGATGAGTTAAAGTAAAAAATTACTTTTCATGTGACTAATCGAAAACACGCATTCTACCCCCGATTCCCTCGGAAAATAAACTTCACTCAAATAACAAGTTTAATTATTTATTATAACAATCTTAAGAACAGAGAAATGTGTTTTCTTGGACCGAACAAGGATTAAATAAAGGTACAAAGCAAAGATATCCGATAGCACAAACCCCTTCTGTTACTACTGTGGCGAAACACAGTGATTCCTTAACAAAGTAAAATTAAATTAAATCGATTTGTTTACAGCAACAGTTTGCTCGTGGTCGCCTAACAACTAGACCAAAGAAGAAACATTGTATGCATAAGTTTCGTGTTCTTCTGGGTAATGTTGCCTTAAAATCCTGCAAGATTTTATCAGTGCTGCGGAGGAACTAATAACCTCCATATTCAAGGTAGAAAAATGAGGCGATAAGGTGATAATCACCTACAAGACTACACCGCGACGTAACGCACAATCCCCATGATTAAGTACAGAGGATAAACGAACTTTAGGACAGAATGTGTCACACCTTATTAATTAAACATTTTAGGGAGTAGAGGATATAAATGTCATTATTATTATAATTTAACGTGTCTTTAATTCGATAACAACTGCTTAAGTCAAACGTAGATCACAATTAATTACGCTCTTCGTAAGAGACACTAGAGGATTAGATTATAATTTCTTCATATATGACACACAGACACATTGATACGTGTCGTCGGCATGAACTGATCTTCGTAATTATCGGTCAAGTACAGGAAAATCATCGACATGTAAGGGTCGCATTTATAAAAGGGATTGAGCTAGGATATTTTCATATTTTTAAATAGCCTACATGTGCAATGGTAGAATAAATAAACAAGATTGGAATTTTAAATCGGTACCTATTAAATCACATGGGTCCAAAACACGTACGAAACTGTCTTGGAGATATTTCTGTCGTTTTAATTTAATTTCAGCACGACGTTTCCGAGACTGTATTCTTTTTCATTCTTCAGGTAAAACCTACTCTGTTCGGCCCAGTCGACAGAGCCAGCCCTCAACTTTAGATAGAGAGGAATTTGACATTTTAATAATGCACCATCGTCAAAAACCTTCGGTGATAATTAGATTAAATATTTATCGTCTACGAAATTATTTGTAATAAAAAGTCAAAATTTGCTTTACTGGTTAGTAAGTCAACTATTTTTATTTTACTTCGGATTTTGAACAAATAATTACATAGTTAAGTAGCCTACTTAGTTATCCAGTTGACCAGTTCATTAGTGAGATAGTTACGTATTATTCACTTCAACTAAACTGGCATTTCGATATACGAAAGCCTTTTTTCCTTTCAAACTGTCAGCACCAAACCATTATTCATTCCGTTTAATTGTGTCTTTTTCCGCGTTGAATTTCTACTTTGAAACACACTGTAAAAAAATATTGTACTTATTATATGATTTAACTACTTTTATTCCTTGAATGTTATTTGCGATTGAAACTCTGAATAAGCCAAAGACAATTTTAAGTTTTAAGAAGCCGTTTCAATGCCGCAGACGCGTGGTAACGCTGTGAAATACGTTTTTGAAAGCTATTGTGAAACCTTTCCTTTGAAGTGGCAAGAGCCTGGTTGTTAACAAACTGTACTTTGTCACAGCATGAATAGAATCAATTCTCTGTATTCGTATTGAAAAGCGCACGTCTTGAATATATAAAAGGAAGTGATTTTCGTTCCATTATCTTGTCTGTTGAAAGCAGAGAGCCGCTTTAGAAGTTGTTTCTTGCTAAGTATTCTATTATTTGTACTTAGAAATCAATTATGAAGTCGATTGTTAAACGTTTTAATAATTTATATTAGAAGTTAAATTTATTTACATTTATACACATTGAAATTAAGCTATATTTCAGATATTATTAGAGAATGATCTGTAATTTATACATGAGAATATTAAGAACAATATTTTAATGAAGACAAAAGCTGGATGTCTTTCCTTCAGTTTTGCGAACTCAGACCAGCTGTGAGTTTTTGAAATTCCGATGGAATTTCAGACTAAATTGTCTCATTTTCATCGTGTTTACTACACACCCCGCCTACGTAATCCTCTTTCATTTGATCGCTCAAATAATGTTTGGTGAAAAGTACAAATTATGGTGTTTCTAATACTTTTCCTCACTCAGACTCATTCTTTCTCAACACAATATATTCAAAGACCCTCAGTTTATGTTCTTCGTTTAGGCCGAAATGCCAAGTATCAAAACCATACAAAACAATAGATAAAATTATATGTTTGTATCCTATATTTTAATCTATAATCATTTGACAGAATTATGGGAGATGAAGGATTCTAAAATTTGTGGCAGCAAACATTTTCCGAGTGTAATCTGGTCTTATTCATGTTTCCATATAATTTTAAATTGTTCCTGTCGTTCGTAAGTATTTGAATTTTATCTCATTTTCCACGGGGTTATATGGTATCCGTAAGTAAATTATGCTGTAACTGTGCCATAGATTCTGGTTACAGGCCATGAATAAGAAGCTACATCATTTTTTGTGTATATTTACAGACCATTTCCCTTAATAACGTCTAACAGTTTGCTGTGAGCTTCAGCCAACATTTCAAATAAATAAAATAATAAAATTCTGAAGGAAAGTCACCGTCAGTGAGACAACGTGCACTACTGTATTAATATCTTGGGCTTCGTCAAATAACAAAGACAAATTTCAGATATTAAAAATTCACGAACGATTAATTTAAAATAATATGTTGTGCCAAAAGTGCTTATACACATCACAAGATACTAAAATAATTTATCATTCATTCACTTGAGACAAGTAACATACCCAAAGTACATATTAATCAAGTTCATTTACATTTTTAACATGACTTCCCAGTGTATTGAACCGCGTATTACTAAGCTTCGATGAAAGAGACAATTGAGAATATATTTATATATCTCGTTTAAGACAGGCTTTTGTACATGTGAAACGAAGAGTGGCTTTGCCGTCTCCTTCCTTCCTTCCTTCCTTCCTTCCTTTCTTGTTTCTGTGAGCCCTCTTGTCACACGGAGAGCCGTGCGGCACTTTGCCGCGGACAGCCACCAGAATCCTAACCACTCAGGACAGCAGCTGCTGGCGTGTTCGTCTGACAGCATCCAGACGGTCGTGTCGCAATGTGCTAGCTGTCTTCTACTTGCCAAGCCGAATTCAACATTTCGAATGCCTAGGGACGTTCCTACAGCCGCGTTATAACCACATCTATGATGTGTCCTCTTTATTCAGAGCCTGTTATTGAGATTTTTGCTTTTTACGACAGTGAACACTTCGATGTTGGTCCTCTGGGATGTAACGCCGTACGGACTTTTTCGAAGGAACTTACTGCCTTCAACCCTAAACATGGAGGTAGAATGTTCCTCCGAAACTGCACTATAAACCTGCGAGTTCAAGGCGTTAAAACGGATAAGCCAAACATCGACGTATTAACGATTATTTAGAGTATAGGTCTATGTGAAGGTCATATTAGGCGGGGAATGTGGTTAACATTATGAAAGTGTTAAGGGGAACCATTTATTTCTTAACCCAACCTTATACCCCTACGTTTTTTACGATTATGATAACGTGAAAACATTTGTGATTTCGTGTCTGCATGTCTGAGTTCCCAGTGTAACAAGTAAAAGGTCTGAACAAACACGAATTCTCTCGCAGATAATGCCCCTAGTGACCGTGCAATATATGCCCTTCTGAATTTCCTACAATGTATTAAGACTACGGAAACTTCTGACGAGGTAACGATACTAACAAAACTTGACATTACGTTTCGAAATATTTTTGTAGTTACAGATCTTGAATAAATATCTAACTTCTGTTGAAATAAATTTGCTGAATGGAAATCAATAAACGGTGGCTATGTAAAGTCTGTAGGAGTTTAACTGTCGATTAATGAACCACTGGAGATAGGCCTGTGGACTTTTTAGTTATACCTATGTATTTATTTACTGATGACATATTTAACGATGCTTTCGAATAATAGGATGATTAAAGAATAATACACTGGAAGAAAGAGTTAGTGATCTAATTTAAGGTAGGTCTATTATAGTGGAATTTACCTAGAATAACTAACACTAATGGTAACACTCGTAAATATAATTTGCAATATTATAAAACATGGGTTTAATACACCTATAAGTTGTAGGCAGAGACGTTGGTACTGTCTTACGGCAAGTAAATTCTCAGTAACTTACCGTTCCCCTATGAGATGTCGTGTTTTCGTTTCACCTGGTGGCCCTGCAGCACTGCTTCATCGTATCTTACACTTCGATCACACTAACAATTCTAATGTTCCTGGAAAGAACAGAAATAAGTCATTTATCCTTTATTAAGACATGTCAACGTTATGAAAATCTTCATCTGTTGCGTTGTTGCTAAATAACTCAACCGAACGATCATTAGGTTTAAAGACAAAAGACAATTTGCTAATTGAGTCCCCTGAAAACAAAATTGCACATGCCTGATGTAAACATTTTGAAGTTTGAAATTTGAGATAAAACACCTTAACAAGACTTCTTGTATTAAGGAGGAATCAATGGGAGTTATTTATGCTGTCTCCTTACAAATATGTGGTAATGTTTAATGGTTATATGAGGGGAAAAATCAATTTCTAACCTACGGCTGTCATGTGTGGGAAATAATAAAGACGTTTATCTTTACTTCTTGTTAAATAACTAATAACACTGCAAGCAGCCACGCTGCCATCTGTATTTACATAAAAATTCCTTCGCGTGTAAACGCGGTAATAAGAGTGCTGATTAGCATAACACGAATACACTGCCGGTCCCACCCACCGCCCTCAGCGAACAGCTGCCACATGAGGCTGAAGTAAATGTCGGGAACTAAACACAAAATGAGGATATAATAATTAATGTTGGTGACGTGAAGTCTACTTACCAAAAGTTATATCTTGTTACAGGGACAGAATTCAAAGATGTTGACGTACTGTTTGTCAGTAATTTATCATCTAGGATTTGCGATAAAACCTCTTTTCATCGTAAATCTAATGAACCGACCTAATTTTACATCGACTATAATGACGTAAGAAACAGGGAATGAAGATGTAGTTCTTGCATGTTTATAACATGATAGCGAAGCTACTGAAGGTACTGATGGGGAAGAATTTCTGGGGGTTGGTGATTTGCATGCGTCTGGAATGAAAGGAGCAAGTTTCAAAAGTAAATGGGGGTAGGGGTTAGTCAATAAAGTCCATGTATACAGAAAGGGACGTAAGGGTGGATCAAGGGTGGTAGAGGGTTGTTTGTGGAGTAGTAGTCTCCGGAGACAAATTCAGCTCAGGACTTTATAATTGATGATAGGGCTGTCCTTTTCAAAGTTTCATGTCAAAATGTATCATTCTTCCATCCATGGCGTTGGTCAACTCAGACCAAGGAAGACCCGTATCTTTCTCACGCAGATACGGATTCTCTGTGACAGCCGATTTTCACCCTTCCTGTTACAGGACAATGCATCCACCCAGCGAGATATCTAACTCTCTGAAGCAGAGGAGGGTTGGCAGTTGCTGAGCTAGTCAAGAAATGCATCGCCTTTTATAGAATCCGATTGGTCATTACTCATTTTTGTTGTGTCTCATTGTTCTGTTGTTTCTTATTGTTTTTGTTGTCTTATGGTTTTTGTGTCTTATTGTTTTGTTGTGTCTTATGGTTTTTGTGTCTTATTGTTTTGTTGTGTCTTATGGTTTTTGTGTCTTATTGTTTTGTTGTGTCTTATGGTTTTTGTGTCTTATTGTTTTGTTGTGTCTTATGGTTTTTGTGTCTTATTGTTTTGTTGTGTCTTATGGTTTTTGTGTCTTATTGTTTTGTTGTGTCTTATGGTTTTTGTGTCTTATTGTTTTGTTGTGTCTTATGGTTTTTGTGTCTTATTGTTTTGTTGTGTCTTATGGTTTTTGTGTCTTATTGTTTTGTTGTGTCTTATTGTAGGACCACTGCCACCGGGTAAAAACCCAATTGCAGTCAAATAAATAATAATAATAATTACCGTGTTAACAAAAGTGCGCCACTACTGTCTATTCTGAACCACTGAAATCTCGTAAAAATTTTAATAACCATTTTAATAAGTTTTTTCTTCCGTTCACGGGTCCCTTTAGGTATTACAGCATTTATGAGCCCCTAGCAACCGACAGACAGACAGACAGAACTGAAGTAAACGGTAAAGACAAGTTAGTTTTATATTAGACAGAGAAAATATGCAGGATTTATATTGGCAAAATTATGAAAACTGTCTTTCCTGTTAATGCATCAGCAAATATGTTCAAATTCAAGCTCCAAACACATTAGGTGACAAATTAGGTCAAGGATGTTAAATTTTGTTGGACGTGTAACACAAATACTTACACATAAACTGTGAGACTCCTTGCATAAAAAGAATAATAATGCGACCAAGTCATGCAGAGAACTATAATAAGGAATGGTATTTCAGTAGTAACGGTAAATTATAAATCTGGAATGGATCCAGATAGCCGTGTACAATTTCCAGCTGCCAAATTTTGATTATTCGGTGATGAAGCTCGACGGTAGTCAGCTTAAAGCAGATTGTAAGAGAGACTCCAATGTAAAGTACTCTTGGAGATCCACTCTATCTGACCAAGTAGGACGCGACTCCTGCTGGATATTCTTAATTAACTTTATAGAAGGGGGCTAAATTTCCACTTAGAGCAGGTTAATACTGGTTAGCTTGCAAGGGATAATGAATAAACACGTTTGAAAAGCCTTGCTTCGTCTTCACTTACAATCTATCATGGCACAAATGGATTGGGGCATTGCGCATGTGCCGTTTAAGCTACAACATGCGTTACACGTATGTGTTAACGATCATTTCACTTACTGAACATATAAGATCTACATAATTACATTATACTGATGCGGCAGTACGAATATAAGACATGTTTCATTAAAAAACAAACCGAGATAAATTCCAGCCGGGGGACCGTCCGTAATCCGAGCCTATTAATTAATTTCCAATTCTCGCTTTTTGACATACGTGGTGAGTAAAAATGAGAATGATTTTCATCTTTTAAGATTTCGCATTCTGTATTAGAACGCCATGTCAATGGGGCATAAAGGGACAGTGAAGCCGAAGTTTAAGTATTCTGGATCATGGCAGTAAATGTGAGGTGTCTGACTTAAGGTTTCAACGGCGGTTGAGCACGAAGATGGCTGTCTTCTGGGACATAGCGTCGTCCTCTACTAGACTACAGGGTGCTATAACCAAGAAGGAAACTAGGCGAGTCGTCAGCAGCATTATCGTCAACTTACGTGAAAGGAACCCGGTAAATTGAATGGGGCTCGGAGTCAATCTGTACGTACGGACGAAGAAATGAAACCCGGTCGTCCGCACCATGACCAACCTCTGTCTGAGCTACTACAATTTATAACGAGGCTGTAATTAATTCTATGGAACACAGATCTTGAGATGATAACTCCAACTTTTCACGGGACCCGAAGTTTCGGTACCGTGACCACATTGGCCTCTGTTCTGAAGCTCTGAGTGGCTCACAATAATAATTTCAACACTTACAGAACCGCCCTTAAAAGAAGATGGTATTCCCTGTCTCCGCAAAGTCGGTTTTGTCATATTAAAATAAGATACATTCTCTAAACAACTTTTAGAATCTATATTCACGAAGTTTGATTCACATGTAGTTACCGGTTTTCTGTATCTACCGACTTCCTTCATGGTAATATATTTATAAAATAGAACTTTTGTTACCTTTTCTGAACATCATTTTACAAGTTTATTGATATAGAAAAATTCATTAGACAACAATAAACCCATAACTGAACGTGCACCAAACTTTATGACAGATTAATTTGTAGCTGTTTAGAAAAGTCAATTTTATTATGAAAAAATTAACATTGCGGAGATACGATTATCATCTGCCCTTGAAGTACTCGTCAGTATATGTTAACATGATGTCCGTTGAGTTATCAGTGAACATTTAATATGCCTACCTGAAACTTTTAACCCAGGTATTACACTCTTGTGCGACCATTCCTGTGGTAGCTCCGATTCTGTAAATCAGGACAGAAGTAAGGGAATTTGATGTGTGGAATGTTAATGAAGGGACGGTCTCATTCATGTCACAGCTCAATTACGAAATCATAATCAACGTGCTAAATACTTTCACAGTCGATAAACCACAAAGCATTATTTAATTAAATAGCTTGTCATGACCATCAAGAGGCCAGAGTATCAGTAAGGCCCTACACTCGTATTTATATTTTAACCCGTTTGAAACCGGATAGGGTCATAGAATGCCTTAGATTTCTCGTCTTTTTACTCGATTTATCCAGGATAATGCTGATACATTGTACTCAAATAAGCTACGAACTCTTCCTTGCCTCTACTACTCATTACATTCCCTCACCTCATTTGAATCTACAGATGTAGTTAAAACAGCAATGTTAAATAACAAATGACTGAAATAGTATGGTTCACAACCGTATTGACATGAACATCAGTAGTTTTACGATCTAGGTAGGATTAACCCCAATGTCGAATTTCAGGATCTCTAGGAGTACTCCATTTCTCTATATTTACTTCCGGTATGACTGATGTTTCTATTAAATGGTTTGTGGTCTAGGTCTCCTTTGGTATTCCGTCTTCACTGTAGCTCTTTTTTGCAGTAAAATTAAAAGGCTTGGAACATTTAACTTTTATATGGTAATACCAAGTAAATTCCATATACATATTATTTGCTTTGCCTTCAGTCTTCTAGCCATTCTTCCAAAACTCCTTCATATTCGAGCAAGAAAGGGAAATTATATCACAAAACACGTGGCCATATCTGAAATCGGCTCTTTCTAAACGACAAATTCATAAGAATTTCATGCACATGATAAATCAACTGACGATAATAGAATATGCATGATATACACTTGTTTCCGGGGCAAAGAGATGTTTTATCTAGGTGAGAATAAAGGCTAATGAAATTAGGACGCGGACAAAATCGTGAAGGGAAGAGATGGCAAGGTGAGGGTCGACACGGGTGCATTAGCGTTCCAAAATTCGATTTAAATCTCCACCTCAGTGTAGCACATTTCAACAGCAACTTCTACTGCAACCTACCCATATATAGTTAGTTGCTTCTCTGCTTTCTACTCACGAGATTGCCTTGTGTAGTTTTACAAGACTTTGAATACAAAACCAACCTCCGCCACACGATGTGACCAGCAGCGCGGGGTTTATATTCAGTGTCATCTCCATACTGCCGTCACTTCCACACAAACAACACAGAACGCAGCTACGTGTCTTACGCATAGACGAGCATAAAT